GAAAGGCCAAAACTGAAGCCCCTCGCAGCAGAAAGCATCTTAAACTTGCAACATTTAGGGCAGGGGTAGGCAAACTAAGGCCCAGGGGCTGGATCCAGCCCAATCGCCTTCTTAATCCGGCCCGCGAACAGTCTGGGAATCGGTGTGTTTTTACATGAGTAGAATGTGTGCTTTTATTTAAAATGCATCTCTGGGTTATTTGTGGAGCCTGCCTGGTGTTTTTACATGAGTAGAATGTGTCCTTTTATTTAAAATGCATCTCTGGGTTATTTGTGGGGCATAGGAATTCGTTTACCCCCCCCCCAAATATAGCCCGGCCCTCCACAAGGTCTGAGGGACGGTGGACCAGCTCACGGCTGAAAAAGGTTGCTGACCCCTGATTTAGGGGGTCTATAGAGCCATGGATGCTTCCAGGCAAAGCCAACTTTACAAGCCAGAACTGAAGAGTTGCATGATTCCGCCTGTGAAGTAATTTTCATTTGTAGTGACTGAGCATGAACAAGGAGCTTTACCACAAAGGGAAAGAAGTTGAATCGGATCAGCTGAAGAGTTCAAGAATGAAGGCTCTATAGCAGCCTCTGCAATCTGGTGCCCTCCAGATGCATTGGACTACAACTCCCCTCCGCCCCAGTAGGCTGAGGTTGATATGAGTTGTAGTCCTAAACATGCGGAGGACACTAGGTGGACAGAGGAGACTCTTTGGCAGGGTTTCCCAAATTTGGGTCTCCATCTTTTTTTTGGACTACAACTCCCATCATCCCTAGCTAGCAGGGCCAGCGACGATGGGAATTGTAGTCCAAAAACAGCTGGATGCCTGAGTTTGGGAAACCTTGCTCTATAATAACAAAGCAACAGGCAGCAAGATCTATGCAGGGCCAAATCTTATTTGCAGGACAAGGTACACACAACACAGCTTTGCTCTGGAACTCACCTCACCCCACAGTGCAGACGCTGCACAACCTCTGCACTCATTTCATCAGCTAATGAAGATTACCCAAAATTCACCATGGCACCAGATGGTTGCTTTTCCCAGCAGCTTCGGTTTACACCCATTCCACCCTTTTTTGGGAAGATCGCCCTCACTCTGCATAGTTTTCAGGGCAGCTTTTGCACTCACGTTGTGTTTACGCCGTCCCTTGCCAGGGAAAAGCGCTTGGGCAGGTTCAGCTCAGGGCATGTGTGCAAACACCAGTTAACACCTCCCACGCCTGGCTCATGCTTTTTTCTACAGGGCTTGCTGCCAAATGCAGTCATACAGTGGTACCTCGGGTTAAGAACTTATTTCGTTCTGGAGGTCCGTTCTTAACCCAAGGTACCACTTTAGCTAATGGGGCCTCTCACTGCCGCCGTGCCGCTGCTGTGCGATTTCCATTCTCATCCTGAAGCAAAGTTCTTAACCCGAGGTACTATTTCTGGGTTAGCGGAGTCTGTAACCTGAAGCATCTGTAACCTGAAGCGTCTGTAACCCGAGGTACCACTGTACAGGGACTCTATGGCCTCATTGTGAGAAGTGAGGTTACAGGGAACCAGGCAGAGGGCCTTCTCGGTAGTGGCGCCCGCCCTGTGGAACACCCTCCCTTCAGATGTGAAGGAAATAAGCAGCTATCTTATTTGGTTTATCTTATATGGTTTTGGAACGGACTTCTGGAACGGACTAAGTTTGAGAATCAAGGTACCATTGTAGAAGCTGTCAGCATGCGACAGCAGCCACATCCTAGGAACAGCTTCAAGTGGCTGGCTAAACCAGGTGGTGTGATTGGAACTTGAGTATATATATCCTTTTGAGGATAATTCCATGGCTGCCTCATTTAATATCAGATCCTGCTCATTTTATCAGGCTCACAGGGTGCTGCCTCCAGTTTTATCCAAGCAAGATGTTCCCTCTTTTGCAGATGTTCTTTATAGAGTTCCCCCGCCATTCACCTCCATGGGCCATAGGGCAGGGGGGAATGAACCCATTAAACTTGCTTTGACGACCAGCAGCTGATAAGTCTGGCTACCATAACAACAAGAACTTGCCTGGTGAAACTTACACCAGCTCCCTGGATTTATGGGGACAGTGTAAACAACATTTAGAGACCAGGCTATAAAAAACCCAAACACCTGATGCTTTAAGGAAACTTCTTCCAAAGAAGCCAGCATTCCCTTTCAAAGCAACCTGTTTGCAAGAAGTACATTTGTGCACTTACAAATTAGAAAACAAACGTATTTTGATGTATTATTAATGCACACCGATCCCTTCCTAAGACTTTTAGTGCTCTCTCAGCTTTAACAGCCCGCCTGGCCTTCTCGCTCAGCAGCTTTTAGCTGTAAGCTCATTTGTTAAGCCAACGTCTCCTGCCAATTCCTGAAAATTCAACAGCAGCTTCTGCAAGTCCCTGCCCTCATTTCGTTCACTGATCTCTGAACCACAGACCTCTCGGCTCTAGATTCAACCCCCAGTATCGTTCGTGTCAGCGTAAATACACCAGAAACTCGCCCCACTGCAGTGATGACAGCTGCCTGCGGTTGTGCGAAGGAGCGAGTTGTCTGGAATTCATTCAGATCGACTTTTCAGGGCCATCACAACTAGGGCACAACCCAAATCGCTGGCCAATGGCTGGGCTTGATGGAGTGGATTAGCCGCCGCTGTATCGACTGCGCTGCAGTTTGCAGTGGCTAGAGCTGAAAGGGGGTGGGGGGAGAGGAGGGAAGGAAGGAAGCGCCTCTTTGCTGCGCCAGCATCCAGGCTAGCAAAGAAGCCTGGAATAGGTCCATTACCATCATCTGACGGCAGCAAAGCTGTCTTAGGATCGTCCGGATCCAGTGCTGACCTAGTCCCATCCCCTTAACACTCCGGGGCGATCCTGCTGGCCGCCATTTGGGCATTCACTGGTAAGGCTCCCCTGCTGGCAGGGTGCGTCCATCACATCCAAATTCCTTCCAACATGGTGGTGCACTTGGGGTCTGAACTGCTCTGTTAGTGTGATGGCCTGGGACTCGGAACCGGGAGAGTCTCGGTCCACACTGGATCCTCTGCCTCAGGCGGCATCTGAACAGAGCCTGGGGCCTGATCCTGAAGAGTCCCAGTCTGCACAGGTTCCCCTACAACAAGCACCAGCTGGGCTGAGTCAGGGGCCTGAGCCTGCCCTGGCTCCAGATGTGGGGATGACCTCGTTGCCTCCAGCTGGGCCATCACTTACAGCTGCTCCACTACCGGTTGGGTCAGGGGAGGCTGAGGCGGCCTCTGGGTCTAGTAACCCACCGACGTCTCCCGAGCTGCAGAGACTGAGGTCTGAGAGAAGGAGAGACCTGAGTACTTGCAGGAGGAGTGCTCACCTTCGGGCAAAACAGGGAGGTGAGTCGCCAGGGGATCAGGACCGGCTGTTACCCCGTCAGAGATAAAAGGCTGCCGGACCCCGCCCCAGGTTGCGGGAGCAACATTGCTGCTTGCTAGAACCTGCCTGTTACCCTGTGCCTGACCTAGGCTGGTTTCCTGCCTTGGCCCTGTTGGACTGACTCCTCGCGGAATCCTTGGGTTCAGGGCCAGACCTGGACCGTGTGGCTCGGGTTACCCCCAGGCCCAGCAGAGTTAGGTCCCTTAAACAGTTTTCAATATTCTCTGCCCACTTTCTCCACCCCACATCAGCAGAGAATCTTCTGGGTCAAGAAAAAACCCAACTCGTGCAACTTACAAATTTTACCAATCAAGTCACTGAAAAACAAAAAGAGCCAAGTGCCCTGCGGAATCAGATTTAGGGCCCACCGGCATTTGGTTTCCTCAAGCGGTTTGGCCACAGGCCTCCAGGAAGCAGGGGAAGGAAAGCCACAGGCCTCCCTGTTGTAATTTCTCAGCATTTGGCATTCAGAAATATTGACTGCCCCTGAGCACAAAGGTTCTACCTAAATGTCTTGGGTCAACAACCGTCAATGGCAACCTAGCAAATGCACTTAATTTGCTAACTGTGCATCGCTCCTCCTTTTTTCCATTAATGGGAAAGGGCACCTCTTGGATCAATGGAATTCCTTCTTCCACTGATCCCTGCTTCCTAGATTCCACCGAACACAAGCCCATCTTCACAGCATTTATGGCTAAAAGCTTGCTTTCTTAGAAATGTCCTCTGGATGCTGGGCCTGGCAGTAGACTCCAGGATTGTGAGGACCGTATTCCTGCACGCACACAACTCTGCCTGTGGGGCCCACAGTGCCTCTGACTCAAAGCCCTTTCCCTTGCCAGGCCCAGCCTGCCCAAGTGTACTTGAAAGTCCTAGTTGCTGGCATCCGTCCATCTTGAGAGACAATGCAGTGTGCCTCTGGAGTGAAATCAAACTGCTGAAGAATCACAGCGCCTGATGTGGCTGCAGAGACTTCTAACTGCTGCCTCCTGCAATGTTTTAGTGACTTCCGTGGGTTACAAGCCTGGGCAGTGTGTCTGGAGGTCCTGGGCTGCCCTGATGACAAGACCCCCCTGATGTGGTCCAAAGGAAAGCAGAGCAATACATTTGGCACCAGCTTGGCTGCAGGAGTTGCTGGAAGGAGGCATACAAGACCTCAGGGGCTCCACTCTGGATCTGTGTAGTATTCACTCCTTAGCCTTTTTTTCTCCCAAAGATATCCCACAAGGCAGTGGGTAACTGGCTCTATTAGTGGGTTCATATCCCTATAATCATATCCCTGCTCCTGCCCACCTAGCAGCTCGAAAGCACGTCAAAGTGCAAGTAGATAAATAGGTACCGCTCCAGCGGGAAGGTAAACGATGTTTCCATGCGCTGCTCTGGTTTGCCAGGAGCGGCTTAGTCACGCTGGCCACATGACCCAGAAGCTGTACGCCGGCTCCCTCGGCCAATAAAGCGAGATGAGCGCCGCAACCCCAGAGTTGGTCAAGACTGGACCTAATGGTCAGGGGTCCCCTTTACCTTTTTATAACTATAATCTACGGACCACAGCAATGGACCCAAGTCCTCTCTCTCTTCCCCCTTTTCTTTCTTTCTTTCTTTCTTTCTTTCTTTCTTTCTTAGGAGGGGCGGGGCCATGGTTCCTCTACCCACCTCCCCTGTAAAGCCACCACATACCTGGGTGAACAATATTAATAATAATATTATAATAATAATTTATTATTTATACCCCGCCCATCTAGCTGGGTTTCCCCAGCCATTCTGGGTGGCTCCCAACCAAATATTAAAAACACAATACAGAATTAAACATTAAAAACTTCCCTAAACAGGGCTGCCTTCAGATGTCTTCTAAAAGTCAGATAGTTGTTTATTTCCTTAACGTCTGATGGGAGGGCGTTCCACAGGGCGGGTGCCACCACCGAGAAGGCCCTCTGCCTGGTTCCCTGTAACCTCACTTCTCGCAGGGAGGGAACCGCCAGAAGGCCCTCGGAGCTGGACCTCAGTGTCCGGGGATGAATGATGGGGGTGGAGTCGCTCCTTCAGGTCTACTGGGCTGAGGCCATTTAGGGCTTTAAAAGTTAGCACCAAGTTAGTGTGCTTGGAAACGTACTGGGAGCCAATGTAGGTCTTTCAGGACCAATGTTATATGGTCTTGGTGGCCATCCCATAAAATTCAAGGGGAAAACAAACAAATCACTCAGCCCTCTGTCTAGGCTCCTGCTTGAAGGAAAGGCTGGGGAGAAAGCACAAGAGGCCATTCTACTTACTTTAACAGCAGCAGCCATTGGAGTAGGAGGAGTGATGCTGAGCAGTCGCATGGAGGCTTCTAGATCCTGCGGTGGAAGGAAGAAGTTGGGGACGACCACGGGGTCAGATCTGCAAGGCAGCGTTAAGGAAGAGACTCTGGAAGCAGGTTGGGACTCCTGCTGGTGCTGCACTGGAGCAAATTCCTCTGCAAGCCCTACTGGGAAAGGGCAGAGGCTGCGTAGCTGCTGCGTCTGCTGCTCTAGGCCTGTTGGTGCAAGGCGGCCCCTTTGTGTGTATGTCCACAGCAATGCCTTCTGCAAAGAAACATTTTTGGGTGGATAGGTGGAGAACAACACGGAGGGTGGCCATTCTTACACTCTGTGTGACTCTCATCTTAAGCAGACTGCTGGACAGAGTGGAGTCCCCGAGGCCTTATACGTCTCCTTCTGGCAACTCCTGCAGCCAAGCTGGCTCCAAATGTATCTGGCACCTCTCTTTGTAAGACTAAACTTCTTTTCTTACCTGAAAGGCCAATGTATCTTCCCCCTTGGGCCCAGGAGTGATATGCCTCCAATTTTTGCAGACAGCAAGATGCTGCCTTGTAGCAGCTCAGGCTATTTGCCCATCTAGCCTAGTACAGTGGTACCTTGGTTCTCAAATGGCTTGGCTTCCAAAGAAATCGGCTCCTGAATGCTGCAAACCCAGAAGTGTTCCAGTTTGCAAACTTTTTTTGAAGCCAAACATCCGACGCGGCTTCCGATCGACTGCAGGAAGCTCCTGCAGGCTAATCGGAAGCCGCGCCTTGGTTCTCGGAACGCTTTCGGGAGTCAAACAGACTACCAGAATGGATCAAGTTTGAGAACCCAGAAATGACTGGCAGAATCCGAGACCAGGGAGAAGAGTCGGTGGAAGAAGATTGGAAGAAATTTAAAGACTATCTACAGAAATACTGTAAAATTAATGAATGTTAGAATGATGTTGGAATGAAGTTAAGGGGTTTTTAGCAGCAATGTTACAAGGAGTATGTAGAAATGGACTGTTAACAGATGAGAATATACAGTTACTACATATTAAGACAAAGGTCTAAGATAAAAACAAAGAGGGAAAGGATTTGCTGAGTTAACTTATTGAACTGGAATACAAAAAAGGGGAGGGGTGAGGAGGTTAGGGAAACAAGTGAATGAAAGACAAGATATGGAAAGATTGATTTGTTTTTAATTGTCTTTTACTTTTTTTGTATTTTGTATTCTCTTTTTTCTTTTTTATTCCTTTTTTCTTTTTTTTATCTTTTTCTTATTAATACTATTGTAATTTCTTTTTTTTTAATTTTTGAAATTTTAATAAATATCTTATAAAAAAAAGAGAGAACCAAGGTTACACTGTACTGTATAACTGTTGGTACCTTCCCCCGCCCCGCCCCAGCCCAGGTCTTTTCCCTGTTGCCTGCTACCCCAAACCTTTTATGTCTGGAGGGGCAGGGGTTGAGTTTTGGGGATTTCCACCTGCAAAGTGAGTGCTCTAGCAATGATCTACATTGCCTCTCCAAACTGTTTTTCTGGTGAAGACTTCTGTGCAACTCACTTTATGCTGGATCTTTACAAGCCAGAATTGTCTGCTGCCCAGATAGCGTTTCTTCAGTATCTCAGGTTCTGTGTCTAAGATCATTTTAAATGGAAAGGAGGGTTGCTCTGCCACTGACCTATGGGCCCTTCATCTTGCGTGCCCCTAGATGCAGAACCTGGCGTAACAGGAAGAGCCAAAATGTGGCACCAACATCATCCCAATCTATTCCCCCCCCCCAGTGTGGTAACAAAAATCTGCACCACCTTGACATTAGCTTCCTGTGAAGGTGAGTTATGGGAATCTTTCAGATCTCAGCAGTGAGAAGGCTCACTGTCGGGGAATCTTAAGGGTACTAGGGTGATGTCCTGGGGCTGCATGCACTAATCCCAATCCAGTTACATCCTGCAGTCATTTGGCTGCATGGGGCTATTTTATCACTTGCAACGCTGAGGACACACGTGGAGCTGCTTCAACAAAACGTTAAAATTTAACTTATATAAGGTGGAAGAATCATCTTATGTTATGCAACGCCTCCTCCCAGAGAACACAAAATAAAAACAGGTAAGTGGAACGGACAGGCGCCGCCACCCGTAACGAACAATCACTGTACCTTGTTCTTGACTGATTAGAGACGTAGCTTTTGCAAGGAGGCAAAGCAAGGTTAGCCAGTGACTTAAAGCACAAGCTTCAACCTGGGCCTGTAGGGCAAATGCTACCGAGATTCTGACCCCCGTCTAATGTGGGGCAGAGGTTGCGGCCAGCCCTACCACCCAATTCTGCTCCATGAAACCTTTCCTGTATGGAAGCTGTGTCTGCCACAGCCTGTCCTGTTTTTTACCTTCCCCAACCTGTTGCCAACCAGATGTCTTCAAGTGGCTGGGGCTGATGGGAAGTGGAGTCCAAGACACCTGGAGGGCACAAAGTGTTTTTTTTTTTGGTGTGTGTGTGTGGGGGGGGGAAGGCTGCATGTTAGGCAGCAAAGAAGGAACGTGGTCACTGAGATGCTGTTTCTGAATGGAGGCAGCACTTCTGGGCAACATGGCTAGCAGCCCTTTTGAAAAGCCACTTCTGCTCTTAGATAACCCCGTCAGGCTGCATGGCACTGAGGGCCTTGGACGTGATCTGCCTGTTCACGCTAGCCACAGCAAAGCTGGACCAAGAGAAAGGAACAGTCATCCTAGGAGAATTTCACTGTTTACAGTGGTGCCTCGCAAGACGAAATTAATCCGTTCCGCGAGTATCTTCGTCTAGCGGTTTTTTCATCTTGTGAAGCAACCCTATTAGCGGCTTAGCGGATTAGCGCTATTAGCGGTTTAGTGGCTATTAAAGGCTTAGCGGTTTAGCGGATTAGCTGCTAAAAGGCTATTAAAGGCTTAGCGGCTTAGAAAAAGGCTAAGACATTTTCGTCTTGCGAAGCAAGCCCATAGGGAAATTTGTCCTGCGAAGCGCATTGAAAACGGAAAACCCTTTCGTCTAGCGGGTTTTCCGTCTTGCGAGGCATTCGTCTTGCGGGGCACCACTGTATTTGAAGCCCAGGGGGCTTGCTCAGTTAGCCGGGTGAAAAAGGATACAGGACTACACTGGGCTCCAGAGGCTTCTCTGACTCCTCGGGTAAGTCTTCATGGCTCTCGTCAGAGCAGCTTCCAGAATGCTGTTCAGCTCCCACTGTTCTAAGGCAAGCGTCTTCGCTCAAACGCCTTCTTTCCTCACCTCGGGGGCCACTCTCTAAGCCCAACTTGCCCTCTCCCGTCTCTGGAGCACGGGGCTTAGCTGCTGCAAAGTCTCCATCGCCACCACCGCCACATGGAATAAATGGTTCCTCTTCCACTATCTTGCCCCCGATTTCCTGCACTCTTCCATCATCTTCCCTTCGCTCTTCTGCAACCCCATCCTTTGTTTGGATGGGAGCAGGTGGCAAGAGCTCTTCCAAACTACCCTCGAGGTCCCGCCTCCTCACATGTCCGTCATCCCCGTCTTCTCTCAAGGGGCTGTTACTGGATCTGGCGCTGCTGGGCACGCTCAGAGGGTCGTCTTGGGTGACGCTGGACACGGGGCTGCTTCTGACGCTGCCTTCTTTCAGCGCATGTTCAGCAGTCCCTGCAAGCTGGCCAGCGCTCCTAAGGATCGCAGGATCATGCTCTGGTTCAGAGACAAGGCTGGACCAAGGGCTGGTTCTGTCTGTCATGGTGGTGATTTCGTTCAGCGTTCTCGGTTCTATGACGTCCTCCTCGTACTCTTCCTCCTCCTCCTCACTGTGAGACTGCGCAGAGCCTTCGCCTTTCTGGGTAAAGCAAGCAGGTAAGGGATGGCTGATTTGGGAATTGGCTTGGCCAAGGAATTTGTACAGCATGCCTACCCCGTAAGGGGGTTCACCAAGAGGGAGCGAAGGCTCTTTGTCGACACAGGTGCTTGAAGGTTCGCTCCTCAGGTGGCCTTTGGGAACCTCAGCCCTGGCAGCATCTTCTGTTTCGTGAAGACCATCCTCGCCGTGGGAGGCAGTAGCGCTTGAACACTGGCTGCCATCCACACAGGCGCCCACAGATCCTTCGGCATTCTTCCCCATGTTCTTCTGCAGGTCTGTGGGAAGGAAAACAGATTCAGGGCGCTGCTAAAAACGAACAAACACCAAAGGGAAAA